TGTGTGTGTGTGTGTGTGTGTGTGTGTGTGTGTGTGTGTGTGTGTGTAAGAGAGAATTTGGTTTGTCAGTCTCTAACCACACATTTCTTCTAATTGCCTCCATCTTGTTGGATGATATCCACTGACAATTGCAGTAGGAAAATCTAAAATAGAGTGGTTCTTATTTTGCTTTTTCTACTTTAGCATCAGAGAAGAACAATAACAATTTTTACTGTAAAGTTCTTGTCCACAAACATTAAGGACTGATGGAATTTGATTCAGGCAAATTACTTATGATGCTCTGAATGAAGATAAATAACCAAGTTTACAGTGTGGAATGTGTCACTAGAGCTCTCACCAAAGATACGTACGTTGAACACAGGATTAATCTGTGACTTTGGTCCTGGTATTTTATGTGTTGTGCTTGTTTTTCCAGTATGTCTCATTAGACATGTATGAACTGGTGCTCTGTAAATGTACTTTTGTCTGGAGAATGTTTGACTTTTATATTTAGTTTAGTTTGCAGGTTTATTTCATAATTAAATATTCTGACAATAGACCCTTCGTCCTGTCATCCGCCACAAGGGTGTTCTCAAAAATCATGGCAGTCATAGCTGCCTACCTCTGTCGTCTAGGACTAAGTGCCTTTTCCTACCTTGATGACTGGCTTCGCTAGGGTCAGTCATTTCAGAAGATGTGGTCGGCAGTTCAAAGAACAACTTCATTCTGAAGTCTAGGCCTGCAAAGAAATATAGAAATAGATCTTAACCCCCACGCAACAAATTCTCTTTATAGGAGCATTTCTGGATTTGATAATGGAGAAAGTTTATCTCCCTCTCGACAGGTTCCTTGCTCTAAAGGACCTTATCCAAAGAGTACAGCTCAGCCCTCAAGTTCCAGCAAGGACACCTCTGCAACAGCTGGGACACATGGCATCTTGCATTTTTTGTTACACAAAACACCAGATTGCACCTTTTGATGTCTCCAGGGGTAGCTCAGAACAGTTTCTGTACCCAACAAGCACAGTCTGAACAAGCAGGTATCTGTAGCCAGTCAAGCCCTACAGTCATTCACCTCGTGGAATAATCTATCCAAGGTTTGTGTAGGAATCCCATTCAGCCAGAATCCCTCTATGGTCATGTTAACATTGGACACTTTCCTCTTGGGATGGGTCCTCTCGCAGTCCAGGACAGATGGCCTCAAGAAGAACAGAACTTGCACATAAATCTGTTGGAGTTAAGAGCGGTTAGAAATGCTTGCCTTCATTTTCTTCCGTTACTCAAAAACAAGTCCATTTGGATCATGACAGACAATGTAGCTTGCATGTATTATTGGTCATCAGCGTGGAGCATATTGCCCCTCGCTCTGCGCCAAACCGATTAAATCTTTTGAAATTGATACATAGTCATCTTGGCTTCTTACCTCCTGGATATACAACACACCATGGAAAATGATCTCAGCAGACATTTCTCCTTAAATTATGAATGGGAGTTGGACTCTCAAGTCCTCAATAAAAAATTCCTAGCTTGAAGATTTCCAGAGGCTAGCCTTCTTTTTGCCATGGTTCCCAACACAAAGTGCAGAAAATTCTGTTCCAGAGGGTAGCTGAATCCCTAGTCTCCAGGATATGCTTTTCTCATTAAATGGACAAAAGGTTTTTTTTTGTTTTTTTTTCTTGTCCTCCAACTCCATTACTCTTAAAGGTCTTTATGAATATCAGACAGGACCAAGCCAAGGTCATTTTGATTGCACCAACATGGCCAAGATAAGTTTGGTTTCCTTACCTCATCAAACTTGACTCTTATTGTCCATGGCAACTCCTGATCAAACCTTGACTGCTGTCTCAGGATGCAGGTCACATACTTGACACCAGTCTGAACATTCTGCAAATGCAAGCGTGGTTCCTGGGACTAAAAGCTGCATGTTCGTTGGAAGTACAAAATGTACAAAATAGCAGAAAAGAATCTACAAGACATACTTTAGAAGTGACGAAGATATAATCATTGGTGTAACCAGCACCATCTTTCTCATACCAAGTTGTCTCTTTCCACAATCTTGGATTACCCATTGGCATTGAAAACTTCAGGCCTTTGTATGAGTTCCATCAAGGTTCATTTAGCAGCAATAACAGCATTCCATGTGCCAGAAGAAGGTTTCTCGATTTTTCGCTTCTCTGACCACAATGCAATTCCTAACAAGCCTTATGAATCTTTCTCAACAGATTAGAGCCCCTACGCTGCTTTGGGATCTCAACCTGGTTCTTAACAATCTCATGAAACAACCCTTTGAGCCACTTGGTACGTGCTTGTTGCTACGTCTGACTATGAACAAAACCTTTTTGGTGGCCATCACTTGTGCTCGAAGGGTTGGGAAGGATGGAGGTTCCAATGGCAGGCCCGTTGGAACTGTGTTCTCCAAGGAGAAGGTATCATTACAATCCCATCCAAAGATTTTACCTAAGGTTTCTTCTGAGTTCCACATTAACCAAACTGTTCACTTTCCAGTTTTTTTTTTCTTGAGCCGAATCAATCTACGTAGGAGTCTGTCTTTCATACATTAGATGTTACGGGGCATTAGTCTTTTATTTGGACAGAACTAGGCCATTCAGAAAGACCCATAGACTTTGTCTGTTGCAGAGAGGTCTAAGGGAGCATCTGTCTCCACTCAGAAATTTCTAAATGGATCTCTCATTATTGCCTGTTTATGGTTTCACTGAGGCTCCACCTCCTCATAGATTTGATTGTGCACTCTTCTAGATAATTCTGTCTGCAGCCCTATTCCAGTTGCTGAAATCTACAGGCTGCAAAATAGCTCTCAGTGCACACTTTTTCCGACCATTGTGCCTTAGTTCATGCTGCAAGATCAGATGCTGCAGTAGGCAACACAGTTCTTTCTTCAGTGATAGACTGATCCAAAACTCCCACCTCCTTAAGGGGTTACTTCTAGGGAGTCACCTAAAGTGGAGCATCCACAGGTACACTTTACTCAAAGAAGAATAGGTTATGCACCTCGTGCAGCAACTGGAGTTCTTTGGGATGTATGTCCATGTGGGTGCTCCACAACCTACCCTCCTCCCTTCTTCTCCGGAGCTGCCTCTGTGGGGCTTTGCAGGAGAGAGAGAACTGAGGGGCATTTCACCCACGCAGCCCTATGTAGCCTCAGTATGGGGCACAAAGATGGGTAGGGCACATGCAGAAGCTGAATGGGCACTGCTACCAAAAATCTCCAATCAAAGGTGCAGGAGGTCATGCGCACCTAAAGTGGAGAACCCACAGGGACACACATCTCGAAGATAGTTACTGCACAGGGTGATTTATTTCATCGTACTGAGGCGGAGAGGTTAATTTCTTTTCCTCTGAGTAATTTCAGCTAGAAGACTAAACCACTTATGAACACTTTGAGAAGTCTTCTGTCAGGTGTTCTAATGGTCTTATTCTGAACTCTCAAGGTGTTAATTCTATGTGCTTGATAAATTGTTAGCCACTTTTGTTGCCATGTGAGGGATTTGCTATGACAAATGTGACTGAAAGTTATAATAGCAGGAGATTATATTCATAGGGTAGATGTGACTTTTATTTATCTGGAGGTCTGGGCCTATCATCTTATTATTCTGAGGATTGTATTTCCAGGATGAAATACAAACTTGTTTAATTTTGTTTGCCACTGCTACAGTATGAATAATAAAATGTGTATATGACAATTCTGAGGCACTTACAGAAAAGTCTTTACCTACTACATTTCTAAATCTTAACTAAAACACACACAATATGTAGTGTAAAGGTTGGATTAGTGTGAGTTTAGAATGGCCACATTAATCACATTGGCAAAGCTTATGAGTGAGTTATGAAGAGCCATCTTAAACAAACATGAATTAAAACCTTTATAGTTCTTCACATTGATCTTTCTCTGCATGTATATGACATGAATCTTGTTTGCTGGTAATTTTTTTGTTGTCTCTGCTTGTAAAAACTTTTGTATACTAACGTGAGTCTACTGTGCAGACTTTAGAGGGAGAAAACATTTTTTTTTTCTTTTTAGTGCCAATTTCTGTGTAAAATTCTAAAAATAGTTTTTATGGAAAATTGTGGTGTCATGATTTAAGGTCAAATATATCCTAAATCAACATGACTAAACCGTAAATGCTTTACATCATTGGGAACAGGGTGATTCCTAGCTCTTAAATTGGATAAATTAGGGGTTCATAACATGGATGGCTTGCAGTATATTGGACATTAAGGTTGTGATTGGGCCAGAGCAAATATTCCTACCTCTGAACCTGGGACCAGAATAATCTTAAACAGTGGGAGGGGGAACTGCATGTATGAGAAGGCAGGGATGGGATTTCTGCAGTAGGTGTTTTTAGAATATTACAATGAAAAATGTGAATTACTTAAAAACTATTCAGAAATTTTGGAATAATAAAAATAATCCTGCATGAGATGGATTATAATACAAGTGAAGTGCAAAATACATACAGCTGTTCATATGGACATCATGACCCTGTATGTATATATTCTGCACCAAAAAAATTATATTAATTCCACTCTGATTGAGAAATGAAGCTCCTGGAAGTCAAAGAATGCAGAGTTATGACTGAAGTTTCAGGGCTTGATTCGGTGCTGTGCTAAATCAGTAATCCAAGGCACAGGGCTCCTAGTGTTAGAAAGTCTACTCAAAAGAGGATTGTAATGGTACACGGGTTTAACTGATCTTGCTGGATAGCTAGTAACATTTTTAAAGACCTCTTTTTACCTTTTGCAGGTTCCTCCTGAAGATACAGCTTCACACAGAACTTCATTCACTGTTCAGTCCCTTAAGCCTTATACAAAGTATGTGTTTTCACTTCGTTGTATGAAGAAAGATGGGTTGGGCTACTGGAGTGACTGGAGTAAAGAAAAGAGTGGGGTCACATCTGAAGCTAGTAAGTAGTATTTGATATTAATGTTTATTTTTCTACAGAATTAACTATTGTGATATTCCAAAATACATTAGATGTTGGGCTGTGGTTGCTTGAAATGTTGCCCTTTTAGCAGGTATTGATCTTGCTGGGAAAGATTTAAGTGGGTTCTGCTGACTTGGTCACATGACTAATTACCCCTTGTGGCCAATGGCTCTCAAGAATAGTGGGAATAGCTTTATTGAAGGGATCTAGGATGTGGACTGAGTAGTAGGCCTAAAGTGGTAACCCTAGAGGGAGCCAAGCCTGGGGAAAAGGCTTGAGTTGAACTCTATCTTCATTCCCTTGTTGTTAAAGCCAAACCCTAAGAACAGGGTCAGGTTTTAACAATACAGTGTTCAGTGCAATGCAGTGCAATACAATGTTAAATACAATACAATGTAAAGGTGCAATTAAAGCAGCACTTTGGTGCTATCCTTTTTGTGTTACAAGTCTGGAAGTACCTTAGTTTTGGTAGGTGTTATGGCTTGACTTGCGTGGAATTCTTAGCAGAGGTTAATTATCCATGAGCAATCTTCTCTTTGAAGGGGAGTATAGTGGATGTAAGTTTATAATGCTAAAAGTGTATTCTACCTTCAAGCTAGTTACACTTGCCTGATTTTTAAGGGTTAAAAGAAAGCAAATGTGTATAATTTGACATACTATTGTCCAGCAATATTGGCAGCAGTCTTGCTAATTGATGGGAGATGATGGGCTTCTTTTCCACATTCGCTGCCGAAATGGTACAGTGGGGATTGCAAAACTCTCTTGCTTACCGCATTCACTTGTCACTCCTCTATGCTAATTGGTCTATACTGGCAGTGACATGAATGTAATATGTGTTGGTGGTTTCCAATAGAACCAAATCTCTGCTTCTCCCATAAGAAGATTGAATGATCATGATGGTCCCTTCTGACCTTAAAGTCTATGAATGGCAATATTTGTGTGGTATTTTTTTAATGATCAGAGGTCTATACTCCATTTTTTTCCAGAAACTTTCCAAATTACTAACAGTTGCCCAAATGTTCACTTACCACATAATGTAAAGCATAGAAGGGGAAAAATCTTCCCCTGCCACCCACAAATTGTTTCCCCTTGGTTTTGGTTCCACTCCACAAGAGAGGCGGAAAGTGGCTATTATTGAGCCTCTACCTTGATGTTCTTGGAACCTTGCACAAACCATAAAATGCAGCAAAGCTGCCAAAAGTTCTAAATCATGATTGGTCTGTGGGTATTTTTATTAATCACTTTGATTTTTATTTTAAAACATTCGTAGGTGAGATTTCAGATTCCCAAGAATACAAGTGCCAGGAGAAATAGTAAACAATCTAATAGCAAGATTCAGAATATCCATTCAAAGATAATAGTCATATTTCTGTAGTGTTAGTAACCCCTGTGTGGAAAGTCTTCCAAAAGATTGAACGCATTCTCCTGGCTTACACACCAGGAAGGACACTGGCTCTACTCTAAGAAACCTCATGGTATTATTCCAGTAAAAAAAAAAAAAAAAGAGATTGTTAAGGAGAGGGGTAAGGTGGATGAGCTAATATCTTTTATTAGACCAACTTCTATTTGCCAGAACTTGGGAATGGGCAACAGGGGTGAATCATTTGATTACCTGTTCTGTTCATTCCCTCTGAAGCACCTGGCATTGGCTACTGTCGGAAGATACTGGGCTAGATGGACCATTGGTCTGACCCAGTATGGCCATTGTTGTGTTTTGTAGGTGTGAGAGAGAAGCTTTCAAGTTTACACAGAACTCTTCTTCAGGTCACCCACCTTGTGTCTCTCATATCCTGGGACCAACATGGCTATGACTACACTGCATACAATCTTTTTTTTTTAAGTATTTTTTTTGTAAATATATGGAAGGGGATCCCAAAGAAATACTGAAACACACCATCATCTAGTTTGGATACACTTTTGTTAAAGAGCTGCAGGAGACTAATGATATGCTAAAGTATACTGAGTTAAAGCCAATGAAGAAAATCTCTGCATCCCTCTTAAATTTTGTTTTTTTTCATATCAGAACCATCTAAGGGACCACCTCTATGGAGGAAGATTGGCATATCTCACTCTCCAAACTCCTGGACTGTGCATCTGATATGGAAGGTAAGTAGTAGTATTACAAATGATTACCTGATTGCACAAGTCTTTAAGGCACAATAGAAAAAGTTTATAGGTACTTTTTAAAATCAGATTTTTTTTTTTTGGTGTGGAAGTGAAACAATTTCTTCACCTCTAACAAAACTTGAATATATAATCAGAATAGTCCATGTTTTATGATGATCTATTGCATTCTCTAAGCTTATTATGTTATGTAACGAAAATAGTTTTTTCATGAATATTTACATGTGCATTGGAGTGTGGATGGAAAAAATAGCTATCATCTGTCTTACTGTATTGGAACTAAGTTAAATTCTGTAAATATTAGGTATAACCAGTGTACAGAGAATTCTTTCTAGTTAAGGGATATTCTGACTCCCAGCCCAGAGACCATAATTTGCCTGCTTACTGGAGACAGTTTCTGTAAAATACAAGCTTTCATTAAAAAAGAAAAGTATCCTCCCAGTGTGACCATGTCATAGCCTGAAACAGCTGTGAGAGGTGTGATTTGACCTTCTGAATGTAACTGGTGCATAAACTAAAGACCATGGTGTTACCTACAATACTGTCATCTGCAAGAGATTATCTTCCTTATTTGGATTAATCAGTCCAAATTTGAGAAATTTACGGACAAGGTAGACCCAAGTTCTCCTTTTTAACACTTATCTGTTAGCTCTGTCTGGAAAAAGGAGGTGGGAAAAGCTCTTCTGATGCTCCATTATCTTCTCTATGGCACAACTACCTAACATCTGCAAAGGGGGTGTGTTAACTTGTCTCAACAAGAGGATTTAAAACTGAAATTTGCTGATTTCTTATCTCTATTTAGAGAACATATGTGGTGATGTTGGAGAAGGGAGAGGATTGCTTAGGGTTCTCAGGTAGCTGAGAAGAGGAAATATTACAAATAATATAGAGACAGAAGTGTCTTTTTTCCTTTTTCTGACTAATAATAATACCTAGCTCATATATAGCGCATTTAAGGGAAACTTATTTAATGTCATTTTGTATTCCAGTTAAAGCCCTGAGGCCCAATCATGCAAGCCTTTTTCACATGTGTAAGGATTTTTGGTGAGAGAGAAGTTTATGGGATTGGACGCTTGGTTTCTGTTGTCACACTTTTTTCATTATTGTGTAGAAATATCACATGCACAGAGCAGAGGAAATCAAACTTTTTAAGACTAAGTAAAGAAAATAATCTTTATTTTTTTGGAAGGCACAGGTGATAGAGGTCAACATCAATAAGACATGAAATAAAACCAAACCACTTTTTAACAGGAATTGGATCGTTCTGAAGCCAATGGAATAATCTTAAGATACGAAGTCACTGTCAGAGCAAGACCACCTCTGTCACGTGCATCTGAAAAATACAGTGTTAATAGCACAAACCTGACTTTAAATTTAACAAATGGAACGTATGATGTGACAGTAACTGCTCATAACAGGGTTGGTGGATCTCCCCCATCGGTTTTGCTTATTCCAGCAAGTAACTCAAAAGGTTAGTTTCTTTCTTGATTTTTAAGAAATCAAATGTATTTGTAATTATAAAAACAGGAAAGTCTGCCAAATAAGAATTCTAAAAAAAAAAAAAAAAAAAAAATTCTTAACTCTCTTGAGATGTTATCTTTAATGAGTTCACTTAAGTCTCATAATAGCAATATAATACTAGAAGAGCCTCAGTTTTCTTTCTTTGTATTTAAACTACCACTGTATTTATAAACTGTGAGAATAAATGTGAACACTCTTTATTATAGGTCTCTTCAAATTGGGGATTCTCTATCTCTTTCACAGTGTGGCCGCATCTTGATTGACCACAAATCAATCTCCCTTCCCCATAGTGATTGTTCAGACTACTTCCTCTCCGGTTCACTACTGCATAACATCCCCTGTGCTAACTGTCATAATATTAAATTATTTGTGTATTTTTAGCCATATATAATGTGATAAGCTTTTTGTTTTTAGTGGAAAAGTTTAACCCTTCCATTTCTTGCTCCACTCCCATCCATTCTGTTCCTCTTTCTCTGTTCGCCTTTCCACATCATTCTGTGCTACCTGATCACGTGGGTCACGGCAGTCACGGATTCCGCGACTACTTCTGCTTCAGCTGTAATATTCCCTCTTCTCAGCTTCCCTATAACCTGGGGCTACTTGCTAGTTGATATTTGGAAAGTGCTTTTGAATTTTGAAATTGTTCTTATTCTACCAAGAAATAGCAGATTAATTTAGATCTCTAATGTATTTTCAGAAAAACATTGATTTCTCAATGTCTTCTCTCATATGTGCATAGAATCGTAGAAATGTAGGACTGGAAGGGACCTGGATGGGTCATCTAGTCCAGTCCCCTGCACTGATGCAGGACTAAGTATTATCTAGATAAGTGGTTCTCAAATTTACTTGATCGCTTTGTGCTTTCTTTGTCTGTAGTTGTTTAAGCCCCACTCCCACAAGTACACCACCCAGCTCTGAAGGCAGAGTGCAGAGCAGTGGTTGCTGGCCGGGCGCCCAGCTCAGATGCCAGCTCTGCGCCAGCAGCAGCACAGAAGTAAGGGTGGCAGTGTGAAAAGTGATATCACTTTTTGCAGCAGACTTAGCACCCTGTTGTCACCTTTACTTCTGTGCTGCTGCTGCCCCGGGGCTGACAGCCAGAGCCCCACCACCTCCAGCTTGAGGGATTGGGCGGAAGAAGGAAGGAGATCCTGAGCCTGGGTTGCCTCCCAGTGAGGAAATGGGTTGGGGGAAGAAGGAGAGCCTTGGCAGCAGGGTTCCACGTGTGCGCAGCCCTTCTACAGGAGCCCCAGCCACTCAGGGCTGATGGCCAGAGCTCTTTTAAACCCCCCCCCCCCCCCCACACACACACACACACATCTCCCTTGACCCATTCCCACGCCTCCCTTTGGAGGCCTGCCCTATTGTTTGAGAACCTCTGATCTAGATAATCTCTGATAGCTATTTGTCTAACCTATTCTTTAAAACCTCCAATGACTGAGATTCCACAACCTCAGTAGGGAATTTGTTCCAGTGCTTAATTTACCCTTGCAGATAGGCAGTTTTTCTTAATGTTTAATCTAAATCTCCCTTGCTGCAATTTAAGCCTATTACCGCTTGTCCTGGCCTCATTGGATAAGGAGAACAATTTTACATATTTGAAAAGAGGAGGGTGATAAAGATTGTTATAGACTGTTATCGTGTCCCTCTCACTCTTCCCTTTCTGACTAAACAAACCCAGTTTTTTCAATCTTTCCTAGAAGCTCACATTTTCTAGACCTTTAAGCACTTTTATTACTCTCCTCTGGACTTTCTCCAATTAATCTACATTTTTCTCAAAGTGTGGTGTCCAGAATTGGACACAGTACTCCAGTTGAGGCTGTATCTGCAGGGCCGGCTCCAGGGTTTTGGCCGCCCCAAGCAGCCAACCCCCCTCCCCCCC